TAATAGACATGGGGACTTATTAGGGTTTTTTTTCTTTTCTTTTTGAAGTCCATGTAATCTACATGTCTTTTGTGTTTTGGGGAGGTGAACTAAAGTGTAAATTCTATTGTCCTAGCTTGGATTATTAGTCTATTTACCCTACCAAACGAATTTTTAATCGGTCGGTTGATCAATTTACACTCGTGTTTGAATGTGTGTGATCAGACGGTTACAAATTCGATCGATACGGGCAGTTGTTTGTAGATGTTTGGTGGATAGGAATAAGCTCTCCTTTTATCTTTCAAGTCATCGATGAATCATGGCAAGAAAAGTGTTTGTAGTCCGTGCACCGTTTGGTGTGTATTTATGAGAGAAATGGGAATTAGGGTTTTACTTTTACGTGCTAGATCTGGAGTTGTGAACATAAAGTAATTGGCGGCAGTGTTAAAAACTCTTGAGGGAGAGCTTTGCCGCCTTTGTGGTCCTACCCGGCACGATTCTGGATTAGTCGGTTCCCCTGTAGATCTGGAAACCGGAAGGTCTCTGTACAAAAAAAAAAGTAATTGGCGGCAAAGTTAATTTTGTGGTTCTTTTAATATACTATAATTTCAATTGCCTAGTCCCAAGATTGATTGATCCGTTTTAGCTTGGGAACAACAAAATTCGTGAGGCAGCAAGAGTTTTTTGGTCCATGTAAAATAATTGGAATGGCCACATTTTTTTTTACATTTTTTCTACAATTTGTTGTACCTAAGCACCAATCAGTATAACAATACTACATTAGGTACGAAGTGTGTTAATTACTTTTTGAAGAGCAAAGTAGACCGTTATTTGATATTTGAATTTAGCCATGTTTCCGAAGTTCATTTATCTTAATAAGTCGAGTTCAAATAACTAACCGAGCTCTTCCATTAGTCGAGCTCGTCCATGAATAGTTGTTTTCTTACCTTTATATGGGGTTTGAACTAATAATTGAGTCGAGCATGTTTGAGAATACACGACTATACGTATCTACAAACAGATCATTTATATTTGGGGTTTTTAGCCAAGCTGGCCCGAAGCACGAGCTCGATTACAGAGTGCTCGGCTCATGTCAGTTATATTCAACTACACCCTAATTCACCCACAATGATTATTTATTATGAGACCACAAAACTTGACAGAAAATTAGTCGAAAGTTGAAAATATAGATTTCGGAGTTGTATTTCAATATAGTGGTTTTCTTGGTGAAAGATATATTTTGAATGTATTTGTTCGATTAGTAACTACAATTTTGTTATGAAACTAACGGATGACACGACTTAGTAACCAAATATTGAAACAAAATTAGACCAGTACCGTTGAACTTTTTATATTTGTCTTAGTTATAATTTTTTCGAACGTCTTGAATTATACTATAAAATATTAAACTATGCTAACCAATTTGTTAAAGGATTTGAAATTTTTAATAAAGAAAAATAAAATAATGTTGCACCACTGCTCAGTGAATTAAATTCACAAGCATCAAATTAATCTTGCCATGTTATGCAAGTTACAACATATATCATGATAGCATCGTTTATTGTAAAATTAATTGCATGCCATAAAAAGTCGTTTGAAGTGCTTATCCAATCAGGAATTACCTGGACTCTTTATTGGGCCAGCAATTCCTTGTTTGCTTCAGCTCTGTACTTTTGGCCCACTAAGCCCACTTTTGGGCCCCTCACATCAGTTCGCTCAGATCCGCCAACCCAAAAACTCCGTTGCGGTTGAATTGTGAATGGATCTTTGTACGGGACTATAAATAGTGTCCCGTTGTCATGAAATTTTGGAATGTACCCTGTTTCCATTGCCCTTTAACTTAATTTTGAACAATAAGTTCAATATTTTCTCGTTGATGTACAAGTATATGACCAGGGACGGAGCTAGGATTCAAAATGTTCTCGGGCTAAAGTCACTCGGGCGGAAGTCACCAGGCTAAACTTGTAGAAAATTAGAACCTGTAGAAGCCACCTGGGTAGGAATTAAATAAAATTTGTGGAAGCCACCCGGACTGAAGCCCGGGTACAAATATATGTAGATTATGCAACCGTTAATTGACGATTCATTTTAAATCGGTTGGTTGAACATGGAGTATAATTAATTTTTGATATAGTCTTGTCGGAAGTTGGAAAGCTTCTCATTGCCTTGTAGAATTTTTCATTATCTTTTGATCTTATAATTGTAAGTTGTCCCACATTGATTTTATAGAGTAAATGAGTTTAATTTATAAGCATAGTGAGTTACTCCTCACATTTTTAATTGTTTTGGGATGGAAATTTACTACGGTGCATTTAAGTTCATCTTCTTATGATGCGCTTTACCTGCGGGGACTGCATCTCTTCCCTCCATTCTCTAAATCTTACATAACTCTTCTGAAAATTGAGCATGCTATCTATAACAAGACTATCGCGCTTTAATTGACATTACATGTGGTCGTTCTTGATTTGATTATTTGATTGTCAATTTATAGCTCAAAGCATACTATCTATAACAAGACTATCGCGCTTTAATTGGCTTCAAATGTGGCCGTTCTTGGTTTGATCTTTTGATTGTCGATTCACTCAAACAAAGTATTTACAACGTGTAGTTCATAATATAACCAAGATCATGTCCAAAACTTGATGTTTTGATTGTTCGATCACACTGGTTTCCCGATTCTACTATACCCGTGTAGTCGACTCGAGCAACATGTTTGAATATGGATACAAATGATTTCACCCCCTAAGCCATTGTTACCCAATTCTAATGGTTGAAATTTGGGGGAAATATTGTATAATGTCGTCTATTCTTTGGTTGTCTGATTCAATTCTTCAATGGAGGTGATGGATTTCGGTCAAGTTCCATTCAAATCATGAGTTCAAAATAACTACATTCGATCATGTCGGAATTTTGTAAGTGTCGATTTCTCGTGTCACATATTCGATTGATAGTCACAACAAACATTATGTTTAGCTTATACAACATTAACTCATTGACTTCATACTCGTTGTTTCAAGTTTTAAGAAATCCAATATAAAAAGTAAACCACCGTCATCACACGGATCTCGACAATATGTTCCATAGATTGACCTATTGAGAAAACATGGGTATTTGATGTACAATCTTCATCTGAATAAAAAAGAACACTACGAACAAGTCAAAGGTAGTTAAAGTCATCACAGGACACTGAATTACTTCCACAGGATTTTCAACCCCATCTCACAATTAGCAAGTCAATATGCCGAATCTGCCTGCCTGATGAGTTTGCATTGGAAAATTGCAATGGAGATTATTAAATGCACATGCAAATGTGTTTGACTTTTGTCACCAATTTTAGAAAAAAATAAAAAATAAAATAAAATAAAATACTTTTATGTAGGGATAATCCAAATGAATTTTTCCCATGTATACTTCTCCGAATAAGTTGAATTGAAATAGTTCTAAATTCTAATCAATAATTTAAATCATTAATGGTGTGCCGAAATTATATATCTTGTATTAACACAAAAATATGTACACATAAATAACGGCATAAGACGAGTCTCTTTATGTTGTGCCTTAACCTATCCTACAAGATACAATACAGTAAGAGCGACGAAAATGGTGTGGTCTCACACAGATGCATAAGAGGGTGAGTTTAAGTAGTGTACCGTAGTGAGGTTTTATTCCAAAATCAATTGGTTATGGGAGGAGTAGCCCACTATGCTTATAAACTAGTTAGGTTCATTTATCCTACAAGTGACATTCTTGTGAGTCTTTTCTCTAAACTCACAAGTGATAT